AATTTAAGGGGGTCTGAATACTTTCCGTACCCACTGTATGTGAAAGTGCATTAATTCTGATGTAATTTCTCAAAGGACAACAATCACGTTAAGCAATCATGTTTATAATTTTGAGCAAAATAATTATGACGGTCTAACCATTATCCTGCGTGACTAAAATGTGAATAAGTTTTAATTGACTAAAACAAGATAAAAATTCCCAGACTTTTAATATGGGGTCACATTTACCATTGCTCTGCGAAATTCCATTAATTTCAGTAGTAATCAGTGCGAATGGGAGTTTCGAATGAGGGCGAAAAGTTCCCAGTGCAGATTTCGCTCATGTTCAAGTTGGTCACATGACTTTGCCACGTTGACCATTAGAAAAGCTGCTTGGTTTGAAAGTGATCTCTATGTGAGCAGACGAATCCTTCTGAAGACATACTCAAGCCTCTTGGTCTTGGACTACATAAAGGAAGTGGTTAAAGCAAATTTGATTAAAGTATTCTTACCCAGCCCCCTTGCTCTGCAATCCAGTTTGTTAGACGGTTGTTTACGAATCCCATCATAGCGACCTCAACTACATTCGTCATGGCAGGGCAATTTTTCTTCATAAAGAGTCCCAGTGTGATGGCAGCCTTGAGGAGCTGCTTCTCTGAGGCCACTTCTGCTCTTTCCACAACCCACATCTTACACAAGCTGTCCACGCTATCACTAAACACAGTCACCACCTAGAGGACAGACACGTCAGAGGCTACAGATGCCAAATGTCAAACGTGGTTAAAACATGTGGTTAAAACATGTAGTTGCCATGCAATTAAAGCAAAAAGGCTTAGCTATCAGTCCCAAACAGGAAATACTGCATACATTTTGAGGCTGCTCAAGAAGTTTCACTTTTACTAGGTTCAGAGAAGAGAACGAAACGTGAAGATATCAACTGCACTGCTTTACAGCAGCCTACAGTTATTGCCTGTAATTATGAGTGGACCAGGAACAAAGTTACACTGATAAAATATCCAATGTTCACAAAGTGATACAAACATTCTTCAGATTAGTTGATCAGTGTCTGAAGAAAGACCATTTGGACTCACCTGATCGGCTGCAGCTCCCTGTACATTCTTCATCAGCGGCTGGATCACTTTCTCATCATAATCGTCACCCAGTTCCCTGAGCTTATGGGCTATTTTTACAGGGTCAAATGAGTTCTCTGCAGAACAAGTAGCTAAGATTTCATTTATGATAGATTTAAAATAATGTATCTGGTTATTGTGCACTTACATGACAAGAGAGAAAACATTTAAGGATGTTGTCATAATAGCAATTTTTTTAAATTGTGTACATTTTAATAAGGTGTTTACATCGTTAAATCAGTGTTTCAACTGTGTACAACATCAATAAATCAGCTTGTAAACAATGTCACATAGTTAGATTTTAATAAATACATGTACTATATTATATATTTTTACTTAACCTGTTAGTGGTATTTATTGTATGTAGAAAACAATGTCAGGAAAACATATTATGACGTTTAAATATGTATATTTAAACAACGAAGTGGAGTAGAAACTTTAAGAGGTTGATATAAAAACTGCCTTATGTGCATTTGATTTGAGTTTTGATTATTACATCTAAAATTGATGTGTTTCAAAAATAAGGTCAGCTATGCAAGGTGTGAGCAAGGCATTGTTTACACGTATGTTCAAAAGAGGCAACGCCTTTTCGTAGAATGACTCGAATAATACATAGAAATCAAAGTGGAACACTTACCATCTTCAGGACCATCAGTCTCCACCATATCAACATCTCGCTCATTTTGTAATAGGCAGTGTATGACGTGATATGTTTGTTTCTGAATGCCAGCTGCCGCCATCGCGTTTACCGGTGTTACAGTATATTCAGTTCCTTTGATGGTTCCACTGGGTGGCGCCTGTATGGAGATTCATGTTGTGGGCGTGTCCTTGAGGCAACGCGCAAACGAATGGGACTGAAATGTACACATTGTTCAAATCGCATAAAGCAGCTGCTTCCTTCCTTGTTATAGTGACATTTATTTAATTTAACTTGTATGTTCTATACCCTACAACAGGGTTTCCGAAACTGGGGCTTGTGAGTTGAAGAAAAGTTGAATTTTAATGTTCTATTATTTGATTAGAAATACAGTAAAACAGCAAAATGAAAAAGAAAAAAAAACGTATCCTTTTTAATATATTTTAAAATGTAATTTATTCTTGTGATGGCAACTCTGCATTTTCAGTGTCACGTGATCCTTCATAAATCATTCTAATATGCTGATTTGGAGCTCAAGAAACATTTCTTCTTATTATCAATGTTTGAAAACAGTTTTTACTACATATTTTTGTTGAAACCATAATACATTAGCATAAAAAAAAATGGTGTAAGTACCAGTGGCGCTTGGCCAATAGAGGACGCTAGGGCCCTCCCTGAGCAACACAACAACATATTAATAATAATAATAATATGACCTGTATGTGTATGATGTGTTCACTGTCTTAACCTCAAAACTGTTTCAAAGGTTGCTTGATAAGTCACAGTAAACACTACTTGTATGTGGACCCTTTTTGGAATATTTTTGTTAGAACATGTATTCCATACTCACTGCTATTTATCATATTATACACTAGAGGTCGCAGTGAGCACTAGATTGAGGAGCAGTGCTGATGCTCGCAGCTCTCGTCGGGTGCAGTGGCGCGCGCCTGTAATCCAAGCTGCTGGGAGGCTGAGGCTGGCGGATCGCTTGAGTTCAGGGGTTCTGGGCTGCAGTGGACTATGTCGATCGGGTGTCCGCACTAAGTTCGGTATCGATATGGTGCTCCTGGGGAAGCTCGGGACCACCAGGTCGTCTAAGGAGGGGTGAACCGGCCCAGGTCGGAGACGGAGCAGGTCAAAGCCCCCGTGTTGATCAGTAGTGGGGTCGCACCTGTGAATAGACACTGCAGTGCAGCCTGAGCGATACAGCGAGACTCAGACTTTTGCGTTTGTACCTGCATGTGGACTAACAGCGAAAGAAAGATTTGCAGATTAATTATATGATTGATAATGAAATTGTTTCACTCTTACTTGTTAACTCCGCCGGTTTCACACTGCATGCGCAAGCAGAGCGGAGGCGGCGCAGAATTATTAACTCATTACAGAAATAGGAAAGAAAGATCAAACTATAACAATTAGATTTAAAGTGAACCTTAAAAAAATCATCATATCATATTATACTACAAATATTTGTTACAGCTAAAACAGAGGCTCATAAAATCATTCTTACTCGATCATCCTAAAGAAAACCTAAAAATAGTGTATAGATAGCATAAAGAAGTATCTTCATATTTACAAGTCAAATCCAAATGAAATGGAAATTTTATTTGCACTACTTCCCGCCACAGTTTCAGAGTTCCCTCCACTCTAAAGCATCTTGCAGGGATGACAAGCCTAGTGTCTAGCAGTCCCAAAATTGCCCTGTCACAGTCGACTTTGTGAAAAAGCTCCATGTGATGGTCGTCGTGATCCCAGAAGATCCTCTCATGGTCCAGAGGTTCCTGTAAAACCTGTTCCTGCCACAGCTGCCCAGAGGTTCCTGTCACTGCCTCTCCATCTCTCAGCAAAGCATGGAGCAATGGATGAAGGTGGCCTGGTCTCATGAATCACGTGGATGGCTGGGTGCGTGTGCGTTGCTTACCTGGGGAACACATGGCACCAGAATGCACTATGCCGGTGGAGGCAGTGTGATGCTTTGGGCAATGTTCTGCTGGGAAACCTTGGGTCATATACCACCTACCGAAGCATTGTTGCAAACCATGTACACCCTTTCATGGAAACTGTATTCCCATGTGGCCTCTTTCAGCAGGATAATGCGCCCTGCCACAAAACGAAAATGGTTCAGGAATGGTCCAAATTCCCCAGATCTCAGTCCAATCGAGCATCTGTGGGATGTGCTGAACCAACAAGTCCAATCCATGGAGGCCTCACCTTGCAACTTAAAGGGCTTAAAGGATCTGCTGCTAACATCTTGCACACCTTCAGGGGTCTAGTGGAGTCCATGCCTCGATGGGTCAGGGCTGTTTCGGCAGCAAAATGGGGACCAACAGAATATTAGCAAGGTGGTCATAATGTATACCTACAGTATATATGCTGGTGTGTTTGGGATCATTGTCCTGCTGCATAACCCAAGTGGGCTTGAGCTTGAGGTCACAAACTGACGGCCAGACATTCTCCTTCAAGATTTTCTGATAGAGTGCAGAATTCATGGTTCCATCAGTTAAGGCAAGTCGTCCAGGTCCTGAATCTGCAAAGCAGCCCCAGATCATCACACTACCACCACCATGTTTGACTGTTGGTATGATGTTCTTTTTATGAAATGCTGTGTTGGTTTTACGCCATATGTAACACGACACACACCTTCCAAAAAGTTCAACTTTTGTCTCATCAGTCCATATTTGCCCAAAAGTCTTGTGGATAATCAAGATATTTTTTGGCAAATGTGAGATGAGCCTTTGTGTTCTTTTTGGTCAGCAGTGGCTTTTGCCTTGGAACTCACCCATGGATACCGTTTTTGCCCAGTCTCTTTCTTATTGTTGAATCATGAACACTGACCTTAATTGAGGCAAGTGAGGCCTGCAGTTCTTTAGATGTTGTTCTGGGTTCTTTGATGACCTCTTGGATGAGTCGACGTTGTGCTCTTGGAGTAATTTTGGTAGGCCGGCCGCTCCTGGGAAGGTTCATCACTGTTCCAAGTTTTCTCCATTTGTGGATAATGGCTCTGACCGTGGTTCGCTGGAGTCCCAAAGCCTTAGAAATAGCTTTATAACCCTTTCCAGACTGATACATGTCAACTGTTTTGTTTCTCATCTGTTCTTGAATTTCTTTAGATCGCAGCATGATGTGTTGCTCTTTAAGCATGCTTCACTTTGTCAGACAGGTTCTATTTAAGTGATTTCTTGATTCAACAGGTCTGGCAGTAATCAGGCCTGGGTGTGACTAGTGAAATTTAACTCAGCTTTCTAAAACAATGTGGTTAATCACAGTTCTTTCATGATTTAACAGGAGGGGGCAATTAATTTTTCACGTAGGGCCAGGAAAGTTTGGACAGCTTTTTTCCCTTAATAAATGAAATCATCATTTAAAAACTGCATTTAGTATTTACTTGCATTATCTTTGTGTAATATTAAAATTAGTTTGATGTTCTGAATCTTTTAACTGTGACAAATATGCAAAAAAATTAAAAAACAGGAAGGGGGCAAAAACCTTTTTACGGCACTTTATATATAATGTGACATATTTCTGAGTGCTTTCCAGCTAATCAAACAAGAAATAAAATGTAGGCAGGACTTAATTTAATCCATTGGTTGTTGATTTTCTTGTGAAAAGTGAATGGAAGCAGATCTGAATGTGATGGGCTTGACTGCAGCGCTGCCTCACATGACAGCTGAGAAAAGTGAGCATATCACAGGAAGAACAAGTTATGATTAAAGATGTCAAAAGCCAAAAAAAACTTTAATAAATATATATTCACAATAAAAATCAGTAACATGCATTAAGAAAATAAATAGGGTTAATTTTGATTTCATGCTGACTAACATATTTCTACAAAGTTCTCAACTGTTTTAACTTTATTGTCCACAACAATTTTCAAAGGTTTCCCCATATAAGTTACAATATTTCCTACAGTATTTCTGCTGTAATTAGCACAACATTTTTTTTTTTTTTAAATAAATAAAAAGAAACTGCATGTTAAACAAAAAGAAACAATAAGTATTGTGGGGAAATAAAGAAAAAAAATTATTTAAGCATTTTAATTAAGTTATTTTAATTTATTAATGTTAATTGTGTTCATTGTTAATAATAGTTTATTAATTTGAATAATTTTAAATCATCCTGCAGCGCTCTTGGATGTTTGCTGCGGCCCCCTATAGTGGATTTCACAGCCCAGTCCTGGAGCGTCCAGTTGAAAGAGAGTTTTCTGTCACAGCTGCTTCATAATTTCCTGATGTTGCATCACCAAAACATGCTCCAGTCACAGCTTTTATTTCTTCTAGGAATATAAACAGCAAATGTTTGCCACAATAAAATTAATGAGCTTAACGTATGTACATGTGATAAATATACATACATATGATAAATAAAACAGGTAATAAACCCAAAAATCCAATGTTATAGCAAATGATTCATGTATTAACCACTGAGTTGGATTAAATGATAGTCAGATGTGTTAAAGGAAATGAAAATAGCAGCAATTGAATGTTTTAAATTAAAAAGTGAAAAACTAGATTTTTGCTGATTTGTTGAGATGTTTAAACACTATGAAGTTCTCTCTGCTCCACGGCTAATGGCAGTC